AATAATAATAATCCGAGCAGTTCCAATAGGGTCTTCGCACCCTTTTGGGTGCTCGGACCCTAATTAAGACCAGATAAAACTGCAAAATGCCTTTACATGAAGTTGAGCTCTGAGAAAAGACTTTCTATTCAGTTTAACATACACAAATATTATAAATATTTAGATCATATACGTATTCTGATGGGGACAAAGCAGAGGATTGATTTTAAAAACATGACAGAAAGAAATGATTATGTAGCTCCGGGTTATTAGTCCTTATAACCAGTTTCATGTGTTCCGAGTTACCCCTCCTGTTCACAAACGATCTTTGGGACGATGCGCCCAACAAAACGCGCAACAAATCTCCGTCCGAGTGACTCATCTCGCTCTTGGTGGATCTTCGGGGCGCCGGCTCTCCGCTCTCAGCTGACTCCGAGCAACAAACCAGGAGCCGCCGCAGCTGTCAGCCGCTCATCTTACCGTTCACCGGCCGGCTTACAGCCCTCCTGACTTCGCATTCACCCAGCGACGCGTCGGTCCTTTTTGCGGGATGCTAACATGTTCTGATTTACCCGGCAAGCGATGAACGAAACGAGCGCCGAGGTGACCGGACCGAGACCGGCGGAGGTTCTGTTGACTTCGGGCTGCCGAGCCCCGCTCGTCGGGCACGTCGGAGGATGGAGCCGAGGCTGAGCGGGGATGGCAAGCCGTCCGTGTCCTGGTTCCTCCTCGGCCCTGTCCTCGTCCTCTCCCTCCTGGCTGTGCTGGCGAGCTGTCACGGTACCTGCAAGCACCGAGCCCCGTCTCCCAGCGAGGTGAGCCGCGGCTGTCTGCCGTGATGATATCCGCTGAGCTGAGCTAAGCTAAGCTAAGCTAGCACTGTGAGGGCTAAGCTAGCATGGCTAATTAACAGTTTACAGTGTAAATTATCTGGCATAATAGCTCTTTATTACCCCGGTATGTTGTCATATATTGATTGACAGACATTATTTTCATAATTTGGTGAAAATTTGTTATTTGCCGCGATTGTTTAAAGACTGTTATTCACCAGAATAAGATTTGCTTTACAGTTAGCAAGCAAGCTAGCAGGCTAACACGAAGCTACTCAGGGGTTTACTGAGTTTAGCGAGCAGCATCTGTCAGGCACACTGACAGCGAAGTGACAGCAGTGATTTAAGGGTTCCATCACCAGCTTTACCTGCTCACCTTCATCCTGTGTTCCCCTAGCAACAGGAAAAGTAACACATCCAGGTAGATCTCTTCAGAATAAAGGCACAGTCCTTCCAAACCTAATAAATCCAATCATCCAATATATAAGTAAAACTTTTAAAATCTCCACGTCTGGTTTTCAAATATTTGGAAAAATTTTACAACAGCTAAAATTAAGGATGATCATTTTTTTTGTTGTTGTTTTTTTAGCAGCACACCTATTGTTAGTAATCATGGACACTCATAACTGATATTTGAAACCAATGCAGATAAAATTTAAAATCTCGGTGTCAAAATCTGAAAATGACACAAACTTTGGATGGAAAACTTTGTTAAAAGGCCTTTGCTTATTAATGTATTTGATATGTTTAAAAAAAAGAGAACTCTTCACCATTTATCCTTCAGTATTGACAAGAATAGTAACGCAAGGGTGTTTTACATTCAAACAAATTTCAGATTAGACTTGTAAATAAAAACAAATTCAAACAACTTACTAGGATCATAAACATTCAAAACAGCAAGAAGGTTTGTGGTTTACAATATGTTTTTTTAAACCACATTCAAGGCAACAGTCATTGCGTTAGAGTGCTATGTACACTATTAAGACTGATTATATTCCTGCATGGACACGTAGTATTTTTATTCTACTTTTCGTTTTCACACATTGGAAAACCTTCCACTGACTAAAAACCTAAATTTAGCACTAAAATGCGAGTGACACGGCATCAAAATGGACTCATGCATTCACTGTGTAATATTTTTGATGGTATACAGCCTATTGCTAAAATGCTAGCCTCACTTTACATCATGTTTTATCCTTATATTGAAGCCATGGAGGTAGGCTTTTTGGATTGTCAGAAAAGGTCTGACAACACTGACCCTGATTCTAAAGGCCTCAGACCCTTCCAATTATCATAATGTTTATGTCGTGACTCCACCAAAACCCATAGATTGTGAAGGTTGTCCAACGTCTGAATGGAAGCCAGTTTCTGTGGACTGATTTACTGCTTATTGCTCCTGCTTTCTCCTGTTAGGTCGTCCATCAGGTCTACTTGAAGCCTGAGCGTTTGACCAAGAGAAGCTCTCCTGATGACCTTCAGCTGAAGATAAAGATCATCTACGACAACAGCGTTGACCAGTAAGCGCTGCAGCAGCTTCTAACACTCAACAACATGAACAGGGACAGTATATACAAAGACGTTGCTCAGAGTTGAGAGAACCATCATCAACCAAAGACAGACATCTGGCTGTGGATGCTGAATTGGGCTGAACTGCTATAAAAACCACTCAAACGCCAGAGATTTTATAGTTTCTGTATGATTTCGGGATGCAGAACTTCAGTGTGAGTAATTTTTCCTTGTCTTTGTCCACAGGCTTCCTGCAGACAAGAGGAGACTGGTGAAGGTGAGGAAGCACCTGAGAACTTTATCGTATTTATTTATGCACAGCAGTTTTAGTCATATTTACAGAAAGATCATGTGCACACCTGCAAAATGACAAACTTAACTTTAAAAGTTTTTGAGGCTCTGAGTTTGAGTTCACTGCTTATGTCCACGACTGCAACATGAAAAACAAAAAGCTTCGACAGAGAAATAAAAACAGCTGAAGAGGGATAAAAAGATAACAGATGAAGGTGGTTATCAACGTTCTCTGTCAACTCAGACTTTCTGCTTCAGACTTTGTTCATATAAAAGGAGGAGTTTAACCCATCATGTGATAAAAAAATGGACCAATCATGTTCCTCCTACTTCAGCCAACAGGCTGTTTTCATGCAGAGCTACGAGGGACATAAACATTTATGACGGTAAAAA